GGGGGGGTGGGCTCACCCACGTAATAGTCCAGCTCCAGCTGCTGGAAGCAGAGCGCGTCCTGGGCGGGGTCTATCGCGGGGGGTGGGGGCCTCTGCCACTTGGGGTTCCCCACGGAGGAGATCAGCCTCCCTGAGGGGGAAGGAAACGGGCATCAGACGGGTCTGAGCTGTCCCCCACCCCGCGGTGCCCCCAGCCAAGCCATCTGCTGCCTGCGGCACCCCACTTCCCACCTCCCCGGCACCCCGCTTCCCGCCCCTCTTCCCGCAGCACCCCCAACTCGTCATGGTGCCTCCCGCCAAGCCCCCCACCCCGCTGCACCCCCTATCCTGGTCCCCACAGCGTCCCCGCCGATCCCCCTATCCCCGCAGCACAGCGCCCCCCACGAACGCCCCTCCCACAGCACGGCACCTCCTACTGAGACTCCCCGGCACTGCACTGGGGTCAGCTCCGCATCTCACCCAGGGGCACCGCATCGGGGGCCGGCTGCGACTCCTTCATCTCCAGCGCCATCTCGGCCTCCACCTCGTCCAGCAGGGCCAGCTCCTCCTCGAAGAGCGAGGGGCCATCGTCCTCCCAGTCGCCCCCCTTGGGCCGCTTCCGCGGGGCCGGGTCGCCCCCGCCAGCCCCCACCACGGGCGCCTTCCGCTTGGACTCCATCCTGGCTCTGGGGGGCAGGGAGACGGGGTGAGCAGAGACACCCCCCCAGGGCGTGCCCCACACCTCCAGCCTGACCCACCCCTCACCCAGTCGCCTGCCCCACCCCATACCTGGTCGCTCCCCGCCAGCCAACCCCCCACTGCCCCACACCCAGCCTTGCCCCCCACCACTGCCAGCCCAGCCCCTGTTTATATCCCACCCACCAAACTACATCCCCCAACCAGTAACTCCCCCCACCACCAATCTGCCCTACTCCATAGCTCCCCCCCCAGCCATTACCCTCCCTCCCCCACATTTCCAGCCCTACTGCTAATCCCGTTCCCCATTCCATGGCTCCCCAAAACCTCCCCCAACAGCTCCCCAAAACCTCCCCTCTCCCCCCATGGTCTCTCCAACCTTCCCCATGGTTCTCACCAGCCTCCCCACACCCCCAATGGCTCCCCATCACCCTTCCATAGCCCCCACCCCCATGGTCCCTCCATCCTTCCCACAGCCCCCAACCCTTCCCTCCCCGCACACCAACCTCCCCACACCCCCAATGGCCCCCCAGCCGCCCCTCCATAGCCCCCACCTCCTCCTCCCTCTCTCCCCCCCATGGATCCCCCCAGCATCCCTCCACCCCCAATGGCCCC